GAGTGAGTGAGTAGTGGTAGACTGTGAAGGAGAAACGGAACTTATCTGAGAATCCTAAAACTCAAATACTAAGTTGATGAAATACTGATTTAAGCACTTTTTTACACACCAACTAGCATAATTCTGCAGAAATGGAAGTTAGTTACATATGAGTTCTTGGGAAACTGCACCAGTAAATCTGATGATGTGTAGGCATGTTGATACAATACCCTTGGTCAGCTCAGGTATCCAGGGAAATAATGCCTTAAAAATACAGTAGGATTCTTTCATGTTTCTGGGAGGCGTAAACTGGATTGTGGAAGTTGCTGATATAGAAACCTAGCATGCTAAAAATACGAGTGGGTTCAGGGAACACTTAGACACACTCGTATTGGAGAAAAACCATGCAGAAGCAACCTCCAGCTGTCGAGCTATTGAAGACTGGACTGTTAGAAGTTGAGGCAGTGCATATCATTGAAGGTATCACTTTGTATTTGGTCTTCAGTTATGGAAAGAGGGTAAGAACACTTCTGGACTACTACTGGAAACGAGGTTATTGAGTTGGGGTGAACCTTTAGTAGGAACCTGCATGGATGATTTTTGTGTGTGTGGTGGTATGTGAATAGTAACGAAATAGTGCTTGAAGCACTGACAGAGAGTGAAAGTTGCTTTTGTTATGCATCATAAAAGTTTCCAAGTTGTTCTATTTTTGTACAGTTTTATTGCATTTCAGGCAAATACACATTTAAACTATAACAACTTTGATGGCTGTATTTCTATTCTAAAAGCCTGGACAAATACCAGCTACCAAAGGTGTATAGTCTCAGCTGTGTGGCTTCGGGCCAAACACTGCCTTTGATGGGAGCAGAACCACTGGAGATAAGCAAGAGCTGCAGGCCTGGGGCAGTTGCTGTGTTTCTACTGTTGTGCTGCCAACTTAAAAATTTTTATTGCAAGTTATGTTCTTTTGGTGTTTCCACTTTTGAAGTGGGGAAAAATAGTTCTTGCTTCTGATTAATTCATTTTTTAGTCCTTTGTGTTAAAAATGTCAGCCTCTCCAACTCATAGTCTTTGAGAGGCTCCAAAAAATCACGTTGTATTTGCCTGATTCCTTCTGGCAACAGAAGTTTTCCTTACCCTAAGAAGCACTGGGTGTGTTTTGAAGCCACTTGAAATGATCTTAAATCAGTCCCTTTATGTAAATAACTATCTGGGGTTTTTTGAGGACTTCTCTTAGATGCAAGCTTGAAAGTTCTTGTCTGCATCCTTGCCTCAAAAGTGTTTATAGTAATGGCAGGAGAGTGATCTTACACATGCATATGTGTGCATGTATACTTATATCGAAGTCCCAAATTCAGATGCCTTTGCATGGACAGTCTTTTTTTTTTTTGTCAGTTTAGCTTATTTCATTCAAAAAACTAGTGGAATCTTCTCCAGTAAAAGTTTTAGTGTACTTTAAAAAGGCATTGGTGGTAGGACAGACATGCAAGTACAGCTGTACTAACAGCATTTATCTGGAAAACTTTATCACAAATGGACTGAGCAGCTTGCAGGATACGTTTTAGTTTCCAAATGTAGCTCAGCAGCTGGTGACCTGCCAGTCTCTCTCACTCTCTGTCTTCTTCAGCAGTGCTGTGTTGGGATGTGTGATGTGTGAGGCATGGGACAGGGATCATATGATGGGAGAAGAGCTCTGATACAGAGCATGAACATGAACATGGGGCTGTATAGAAAGCAGTGTGGTAAATATAGCTGCTTGCTGGACGATGTGTGGGGCTCACCAACTTCTGCCATGTGGATCCAAGAGCAGGAGAGACTATAACAGAGTTAAGGCCCTGCCAGCAGGTTGGGTTCAGGCTCCGACTCCACATGGTGCCAAATTGCATGTAGGCATGGATGTTGGAGCAGAGAGGAGCATAGTTCAGGGTGAAGTGATGAAAGTAGCAATGAGAAACTCGGGTATTTGGATACGGTTTGTCTTTGCCAAAGGTGCTGGGGTCCCCAGGAGCATACACAGGGAGGCTGGGATTTTGAAGCTGGGCACAAAATGAGTGCTGTGAATGCAGGACTGAGCTGAATGTGGGGAGTGGGAAGTATGGAGTTAAGGTAGTGAAAAATTAGGAGGCTTGAAGGTCAAGATCCTGATTTGTAGGAAAGTAGGAGAGTCAAAACTCATTTGAAGACATACTGTTGGGTGCTGAGAACTTTGGCCTTCTGGATAATGAGGAACGTGGATTTAAGAATGCAGAGACCATAGATTCATTTATGGGTCTAAAAGAAGGAATTCAAGTTAGTCTTTTGTCTGACAAGATGTCTTTGAACATTGTTTTGACTTGCAAGTCACAAGTGCTTGGGCAGTGCAGGTGTTTGTGGCAGGAACTTTTTGCGTCAGTTTTCTGTTTCCCCATGTTCTATATTCATTCCATGAAAAAGCAGATACTGGGAACACTCTAGTCTGTCTCTTTAAGGTCATGTGTCTGAGAACTTTCTGTAGGACCACACAGCCTGTGTGAGACTGTTGTTCTTGTAGGTTTCTTATTTATGTTATTAATTCTTAGATCTCTGGTAGAAGTGTTGCAAAGCTGATTATGATGAGAGTAAAAGATGTGCTGTGAGATGTTGAGGTTGAAGATCCTTATTCCTCTCTTCTCAACTCTAAATTGTGATGTTACAAGTTTGGAACCATCAGAATAATCTGTAGCCACTAATAGGAAAAAATAGCTCTAACGGTTTTCTCTGTTATTCCCTGTTACCATTTATTTACTTTCTCATGCCTCCATTGACAGTGGTCACTGGTATATCTGATTTTGTTCATAACTCCTTGGAGCAGAGACTTACTGCCTTTATTTGCTGGGGAAGCACCCTGTGCGCTGCTGACACTATTTTTTATACTTTTACCAGTACCAGTATATTCTATAGTAGCTTGGGATTATGTTACAGAAGATTGTTGGTTAAATAGCTTGACTTTGTCTTGTTTTGAAGGTAAAGTTTTGGTTTACTTCATCCAGAAAATAACAACCAAAGAGTTTCACGAACACTTTAGATCTGAAGTCGCAAACCTTACTCTCAATATCTAGGATTGTCCTTTTGCCCAGTAGAAGCTTATCTTGGTGAAATATTTTTCTAAGCATCACCTGGAATTTACAAGGAGGTCATGAAATACAGCAGCAGAGATAGTGAGGAGAACATGGGAATTTTTCATCCGTGGTCTAATTTAGGGGTTTCGGCTGCTTTTAAGAACCTTCTAAAACTGTTTGCATGATGGATCATATGGTAAGTGTCTTAAGAGTCTGTATTTTCCTCTGTATAAGCTTTTGATACTGTCTTAATGTATTTTTTTCTTTAAAAGTGGGCTTTCTTTTAGGTTGTAGTCATTGTAAAAGACAAGAAGAATGAGCAGCCCTGCCATTTTTGTTAATCTTTCAGAAAATACACAGTTTGGCTTTGTGCCTATTGTAGTTTGTTTTCGCAGCAGTCGGGTTCATTGGCTTCAGTCCGTAATATATGTATCTCTCCCTTCTCAGGCAACTAGCTTGGCAGTCCTTAAATGCTGGCAAGACTTTTAATTCCAAATTCCTTATTATTAGTAATTGTATTATAGTGTTATTCAGAGGACCTTTCCAAAAGATCTAAGATAAGCTAGAGGGTTAAACATCTAGTTACAGTGCCCCATAAAGGGGGATTTCATAAAAGGAAGTTTAAAGAGCCAGGGAGAAAAGTACTGTTGGTACTAAGTGTTTCTTACAGGGTGAGGTGAGTGAGGGTGCCATGGAAGAAGGAAGATAAAGGACAGCAAAGTAAGGAGGTGTGAAGTGTGTAGGACAAGAAGTTTCTCATACATGATGAGATGGAAAGAGGTGAAGTTGGTAGAGGGATCTAGGAGAGAAGTCATATGCTTACAATGACAGGACTGGAAAAAGATCTCATCAGGGCGTGGATGGAAGGGACTTGATTGAAGTGATAGTGAAGAGCAGGGTGTAACAAGTGCTGCTGAGAGAATGCATATATTAGTAGCAATCAGAAAAAAATACTGGATTTGGGAGATAAAGAGGATGAAGTGGCAAATTTGGAGACGGAAAGTATGTGGTGCAGGAGGGAGTGGAGTCTGAAATAACTATAGACAGACTGGAGTGAATCGGAGAACTTGATGAATTGGCAGTATGAGAAAAAGTAAGATTGTTTTTTGGCCATGTCACGTTTATTATGACTACAGAGCAAGTTGGTGACAGAAGTTGCGATGTGGCTGTGACTCACAGATGTAAAGACTGTTGATTAAAACCAAGCAGGTTGGGTCAGGGCCTAAAGGTGGAGACTGCAGAACCGCCACAGGTTTTTTGGAAAGGAGAAAAGGGTCCCTGCATAGCAAGAAGCACTAACAAAATACCAAAGGAGCATTAGGACAACACTGTGGCACCGCAGGAGGTTAAAGTCTCCAGGAAGATGAGATTGTGGTATATAAATGGTGTCATAGGAAGTGTGGAGGATTCTGACCTAGTCTAGATCTTGAAGTTAGACAGGCCGTTGGGGTCAGTGGTGATTTTGGTGGAATTTCTTTTACATTAAGATCTTAATTCTGTAGCTATGAGAGCTTCTGGTGAACTCTAACACACTTCCTCTTCCTTCTGACAAGTGCTTGAGGGGAAGGCTTACAAGAAGGATTACCCAGGATGAAGAGGATGAAAAATCCCCTTTGGAAGATTGTTTCACACCTAGACTTAATGAAACTGGGTTGGAACTCTTTCTTGTTTACTTCTTAGCATAAACACTGATCTGTGTGGAAGGCACCTTGCTGACCTTGCACCCACCCTGCTGAATCATTCCACCAACTTAGTCTCCTTAACATAAGTGGGAGTAGGGTTATTCCTTTGGGGAAGACAGTCTAACTTGTTTCTCATTTATGTGTTTTTAATTTCTGAAGAGAAAATGTAGAAGGGTCTTCTGTAAGAGGGTCTGTGTGACAAGGAGAAACTGAGCTTATGTGTATAGAGTAATATATCTCTCGACTGGAGGGATCTGTCATGTTTTGCTTCTGGTAGCAGCAATTTTTGCCTTTTAGCAGCTGTAACCATAAAATTACAGCTATAGTCAAAAGGCCAAGAGCAAACCACTCATCTCGTGATTCTGAGGGCACCTGGTCTTCAAATGACAGTACCGAAGCTGAGGACTATGATATCAAAAGAAATAAATCAGGTTTTGATTTGAAAATTGATTTGCAGTGATTCTGAAGTCTTTCAAGAGCCTGTTGACTGTTCAACGTTAGGTTTACAGGTTTTAACTGCTGTTGTGGTTCAAATGCTTGTCTGGAACTTGTGGTTAATCTTTTGTCCACAAATCTATGTCAACCAGGGCAGGGGAGTCACTCATCAGCTTTACCAGCATAACTCATTGTTTGGATGAAGCACTCCCAACAGAAGAGTGCTTTTTGCTGATGTGGTTCAGAGGAGTTGTGTTTCCATGTCAGGGGAAAAAAACTTTCACAGAACTTATGGTGCCTGTGTTAGTTATGCTGATGCTGGTCTGTAATCTGAACGGTGTCAGAGGTTTTAGCTTAGGTCTGTCTTTATGCAGCCTTTTCTGTCTGCCTCTAGATGAGTTACCTTGCCTATGCCTTACCTTTTAGTTGAAGAAAAAATGCTTCCTTTTCCCTGCCATGTTATGTCTAATTAAACTGTTACCAGAGCTGTGTGTTTCATATGTGGTGGGTAGATTTTAATAATTATGTTATTGTTTCCTTTCTAAGATAGAGTTCAAAAGCCACCTGCAACAGGGATTCAGCCAGGCTTATTTTGATACAAACAATGCCTACTAACAGATCGAGACATGAGGTTGTGTCTTAGACATGGATCTGTTGGAGAGGGTCCGGAGGAGGCCACAAAAATGATCCAAGGGCTGGAGCATCTCTCCTATGAGGAAAGGCTGAGAGAGTTGGGGTTGTTCAGCCTGGAGAAGAGAAGGCTCTGGGGAGACCTTATTGTGGCCTTTCAGTATCTGAAGGGGGTCTACAAGAAAGCTGGAGAGGGACTTTTTACAAGGGCGTTTAGGGATAGGACAAGGGGTAATGCCTTTAAACTAAAAGAGGGTAGATTTAGGTTAGATATAAGGAAGAAATTCTTTACTGTGAGGGTGGTGAGGCACTGGCACAGGTTGCCCAGAGAAGCTGTGGATGCCCCCGTCCCTGGAAGTGTTCAAGGCCAGGTTGGATGGGGCTTTGAGCAACCTGGTCTGGTGGAAGGTGTCCCTGGCCATGGCAGGAGGGTTGGAACTAGGTGAGCTTTATGGTCCCTTCCAATCCAAACCATTCCATGATTCTATGATAAAAGGCTCTATTTAAGCCTGACATGACAAAACTTGATGTCTGTGGCCAGCTGTAGAAGTTACAAGCCAAGAACCAATATAACTTTTAAAGTAACAATAGATGATGGAGGGGATGAACACAGGAAGACACTGTGGGTGGGATTCAGCTCACTTGAGATGGGATTTCTACAATGTAGACGTTGACATCCAAGCTCCTTACTCATCTTTCAGGCAGTAAGGAGAATTAGGCCCTTTTAGGACACGACTCGTCTTACCTATTCTAGATGCCTCCTTTGGGATGCTGATTTCCTTTTCTCCCTGGTGATTATAAAGAGAGTCTAGATGTCTAGCTCAGATGTCAATGCTTACAACAGGTCAGGAGAGCTGTCCTTCTTGCCCATCACTCTAGCTGATCATTGTGTGATACGAAGGAGCATTCACAGGGCCCAGCGAGAGGGAAATTTAACAGAAAACGATGTGTCTTTGGCCGGACAGATGAGTATACATACTTGTATTCTGCAGCTTAGAGGGGCTTGTGGAGAAAGAGGCACTGAGTGGGGAGAGCACCTCGAGGTAAGGTGAGAAAACAAACTACAAGTAGTTCAGCATCTCTTCCATCCTCTTAACGAGAAGCAAATGTTTTTATGTCTCTGGGAATAAAGAGGACAAGTTCTTGAAACCAAGCTTTATCTGATGGAAGTGGTTAGAACAGGTCTTAGTTAATTCCTGTCTTTCTCGTAGGTGGAAAATAACCTCACATAATAAATATTATTCTTCTCAAGTAAATCTGTTAAGATAATGAAGTGGAACACTTTTTTAAAAAAACAAAACAAAACAAAAAACAACAACAAAAACAACAACAAGCCTTCGTGTGCTTGCCCTGACCTGGTGGGGGCGTTGCCTTTCTTGTAAGCGCTGCCATGTGGTTGGAACAGCAGTGCTCAACTTTTAGCAGGAGAAATGCTTCATTTTGCATGCTCTGTATCCTGCCAGCTCCGAGATGCGAGGCTGGTGAGCTAGAGAACCTGGGCAGGTTGAGGCTGGGTAGGTTGAATGTTCAGTGAGTTTTGTGGGAGGGAGCGGCAGCTGCATTGCCTGCATGTTTGGTCCTGGCCTTTTTTGCAGGTGACCTCAGGTGTAGTACCCACTGCTGCACCCCCATTCTGCCAGCTGTAACTCTGCCCAAAAATCCAGAACTAAGAGAATATGAAGGCAGTTGTAACATTTAACCAAAACTCTGGTATTTAAAAGGGCTGGCATAGTACTTGGATTTGATGCAAACTCTTTTGGTCATGTGCTATTAGGAGCGTCGCATTTGCTCTGTGTTCTCCAGTTCTTCATTTCTGAGGAATAAAAGTATATTGGTTAACATAAGCAGCTCAGTTTAATTTTAGTACGTTAATTGTTGTAAGTAATAAGTATCAGGCAAACTAATGTGTACAAATATTACATATTGTATGAAAAAGAGTATTCTTTTCTAAATTTAAAAATAAGACACTGTCAAAATGTATCAACATGTATTTGCATTATGAAGTACAACCATCTTAGAGATGTGAATGAGTGTTTATACTGGCTTGCATAATAGATGGACATTTCTGCCGAACAGTTGTGTTTCTGTTTGCAAGCTAACTGCTATTTCTAGCCTTAGTTTTTATTGCTACTTTAATTTTTTTAATTATATAAAAAGCAGATAATATTACATGAAAACCAAACATTCACAAATCTTCCTTCCCGTTCTACTTTTGTTTGGTACTTAGGAAGGAGTAATATCTCCTACTGATCTAGACCTTGTGATGTCTGATGGATTGGGATTGCGATATGCATTTATTGGACCTCTGGAAACCATGCATCTTAATGCAGAAGGTAGGTAGTTTTAAATGATACGAATATGAAGTGAAGGCTTACATTGCACAAGACTCTGGAAATGTTGTATAACAAACCAGGCTAGGATTGCTGCAACTATGACTCGTGTCTCTCTTTACTGAAGAGGAAAATTTATCTGAAACTTCAGGTCCTATGGAAGGAAATGAATATTGACTATCCTGTTGTAAGTGATCAGATGAAAGTTGACATCTAATTGAAATGCTAGGTGTACTTCACTTTTTACAAGATTTGTCCCAGTGCTTTGCTAACATTGCTGTACTCGTAGTTCAGGACTGTCTGAGCATCAGGAAAAGAAAGTATTGGAAAAGTTCATCTGATAATCTGGTGTCAGCAGAAACTCACTTTCTGTAGGCAAGTGCTGTATTTTTGCAGAATTCATAGCAAAGGCTCAGGGTAAATATGGCTGGAGCTGGTTTGCTTTAAGCTGGCTTCGATCCTGAGTGAAGTGAAATTGCTTTTGTCCACAAAACACTGTGCATACAAAGTTGACTTGACAAAGCAGTGAAGTAACAGTTCAACATCTGTCCTGCATAATTAAGACATTTTTAGATGTGTTTGAGATAGTATGTATGAATACCAGCTAAATAAAAAGTGAATTGCATAAAATGAAATAAAAATTATGGATCAGGATTACAACGGTTTAAGCAATGACTTGAACAAAACATGAAAACTACAAGAAGTGAAGATCAACTATATATGTTTTCACTCTGAATATTATGGGCTGTGTCTAGTTTTGTATGGTCTCTGACGTGGTAGGCCCTTGATGTGTTACTGGATGTTCTAGGCACTACTGCAATGCCTAATAATACAATAATGAAACAAAAATAAGAATTCAGGATCATAAAATATCAGTGCACAATTAGAAATGTTATTTTATGTCTACTTGTTGGTTAGTTACTTGGCAGAAATGTATGTCTCAAGGCTGACTCAGCAATTTCGAAACAGATGTGAAATTGTGGATCCTCCACCAGTGTGTTTCAGCTTGTCAGTTTGATTGTATACCAGTAAATTAAATGTCACAGTGTTTGCTTCTGTGCCTTGCTAGGGAAGCAACATCCACCCTCTAGATAGAGACATCTTCATAAAAGTTTCTCTCTTTTGCTGTATTCATATCTTTCTGTTTTCCAGTCCTTTCTAGTGATTTTAGACTTACTCAGTATAAAACATATACATTCTTTAGATAAAACAGAATAGATGCACACAGCACTAGCCTTAAGCACAGCAATCTACCTGGAGTCTTGCAGGCCAGGGTTGTCTCGTG